AAAAAGAGGCTCAGCCCGAGCTTTCGGGTCGAGCTTTAGCGGGGTGAGCCGAGCTCGGACCGAGCTTTTTGGGTTTTTTTTTAAAGTCAAATCTACATTAATCTACATTTTTACTTAAAAAATTCAAAATTTGTACGATTTATACGTACTATAAACTAAATAAAAAAGCTCGGGCTTGGCTCGAGCTTGTTGGGGTCAAGCTTTTTTGGGTCCGAGTCGAGCAAAGCCCGGCTAAAAAAATGAGGGTCGACCCCAGCCTTGGCTCGGTATAACCGAGCTCTAGCTGGGCTCGGCTCGAGCTTTTTTTGAGCCGAGTCCGAGCCGGCGAGCTTTTTTGTTATCCCTAGACTAGGCTTTTAGGGTTTTATTTTTCAATTTAATTGTTTTCCCCTTTTTTTTAAATTTTTTTTTTAATATAGTCGAGTTGGGATCGGGTTTAGGTTGTTAACCCATAACCCGACCCGACTACCTTACCCAAAACTCGAAACCCATCCAAAAAAAGCAAAAAACTGATCTAAGCCGGTCGGGTTGGGCGGTTTAATCGGGTTGGTTTGAGTTTTGCCCACTCCTATATGTATATGTCAAAAATCTGATTTTAGAAATTTGAAAGTTGTTTTCTTATGTTTGAAATAATATATAGTAAAAATATGATAAATGAATTTTTCCCTAGTCCCAAACTATCCCTAAATTGAAACATAAATTTAACTCGAGCCCAAACTTAATTCCATGCCCAACACAATCCAACTCCCAAAACTAGAACCCAAGCCTAACAAAATCCAAATCCAGACCATACCAAACAATGAACCCATATCATCTCAATCCAAATCAAATCTAAACTAAACTCGAACCCAAACTCAATTCCAATTCCAATTCCAAGCCCAACACAACCCAAACTACATAAATCTATACCCAACCCAACCCAACTTAACTTCATACGGAAAACACATCTCCAGGCCAACAAAACATAAATAATTTTGTCCTTCGTACATCACTTTTTGCAACGTTTGCAAACAGAAAGTGTGTATTTTAAGAAAGAGTAAGCCTTACATTAATATTAAATTTTTAGTAAATTTTGATAAGAGCTAATGAGATTTGTGATTGAAAAGTTATGAATTCGATAAAATATGTTATTAAAATTAATTATTAACTTTAACGTGACATTTTAATTCAAACCAAGCAGGGGTTAAATGTAATTTTATTGCATCCTAGGCCTTATCCCACATATCAAACTACGAGTGCCCGGCAAAATTGCAGTGAGCGTGCGGCAATTGAATTTGCAGTCATGGATTGAGGTCGTAATGAAAGCAAAATTGGGACTGAAAGCGTGTGCAAGAAGTAAAAAAAAGGGTAAACTTACAGAGATAAACTAAACTTTTGAGTATATGCCACGGGAGGGTAACAAATTTTCATGAATATGATAGTCATATTCTTAATTAATTATTTGTTTCATTTATGTTCCTAACACATTCATAAAACTCATGTTGAACGGTCACATGACAATCACATAATATCGAGGATGAGTTGAAGCAATGGAATAAGTTTCTTTAACACTAAAGGACTGTTACAAATAAATTTATTCAATAATTTGATAAATTACAATTTGATCCAAAAATTTAAATAGATATATGTAAGACAATGACCCACATTTGAACCCGACCCGACCAACCAGGTGCATGAGTACCTTGTCTATAATTCATATATAACAGTGATAGGGCATGCATAACGTGTTAAAAAATTTTCCAACCTCCAATTATTATGTTGAATTTCATATAAAATAGAAACAAGCATGCTATCATTCATATATATATTTTTTATTTTTTTTATTTATTATTATTTTTTTAAACAAGGTTTATTTAAATTTTTGAACCGTATTATAATTAATCAAATTCTTGAGTACTAAATGAAATTATTTCTTTTAATTCCAACCGTTCACAAAATTACCTAAAATAAACCTTCTAATTAACGGTAAATCAAAGAAACATCGATCGATCCTTTGCTTCTAAAGATATTAGCTTATATAAATAATGACTAACGACTTGCTCAATTGTGACGTTGTCGGTCAAAATTAACTAAACAAATTAATCACATCAATCTTATGCCCTATGGTCCTTCTTGCAACTAACACTAATATGAAAACAGGTATTTTTCTTGATAGAAAGTATGCTTTTAACTTTTCAGCCATATAACTTTTTGACTTGAGAGTAAGAAAACTAAAGCCAGTTTCTTCAATTATAATCAAAATGGTAGCACCAGACACCTGGTCCATCCCACAAGAAAAAGTGGGGGCATGCATGGGTGTAATTGAGTAGCTATCGAGTGGTTTCCCATGTGAAATGAAGCCCCCTTCAATCCTTTAGAATTCACTTATGTCACTTCCTGCTTTCTGTTATTGCCCTTTTTATTACCAGAAAGATTCCTAACACTTTATTGATCGATATTACTAGCTATTTTCTCTAATATTTGGGATGTGATAACGATGTTAATTGGGTCAGATCCAATAAACTTGATGAAGAAAAGCACGGGACAACTCACATAGGGTCAAGTCCTACATGATCTGTTTCTCGAGAGGACCAAGTCACTGACGAACTTGGCTTGTTACTAGTCGGGCCATCTTGGGTCGACCTCCTTTGATATGTTCGATTACTGCCTCTTATAAGGTATGAAATTTGACTCTTTTTGGGCACTAGTATGGCTGTTCTTGTACCCTGGCTTGCTGAAACACATTCGGCGACTTACCTCCTCCACAATGCTCTAGGGACGGGGCGGGGCGGGGTTCAACCTTTTTAATATACGGTAAGAAGCAAGATTTTTAACATAGAAGGAATATTTTTAGACTAGACATGATTAAAGAAGATACATACCGACCGATTCTTACTGTGTACATGTAGATTAGTCAAATTTGTCTCTTATGTGGTAATTTTATAGTACAGAGTTGAGTGACAGCCATAATTTGTTTAATCCTAGAAAGTTGGTAGATGAGAATAGGATACCCAAAAGGACATTATCATCCAAAAAGCATGTTCTGCAAATCTATTATTGCTTATTTTTCATTTATACCACGGTTTAACAAGTCAAAAAAGCTATTTAGAATAACCTAATGCTTTAACAAGTTTGCTAAATATACAACATAATTGCTTATTTTTGTACTTATACTCGATGGATTTTGATGAAATATGACAACTAAATAAATTTCCATGTATCATTCTTTTTTTTATTTTTTATTTTATTCTAATTTACGTGCTAAATATATCGTACCAAACAATTTAAGAACATTGCCTGTCACGCACTCGGGGCCAGTCTGCTACCCGCATCAATTAAAGGATATGAAGAATCATTACTCAAGGCGTTAGACAAGAGAATGAATTTTCTCAACCAATTTTGGTTGAATTAATTGGAGAGTTTGCATGTGCCATAAATAACTCATGCTCTAGAATAAATTTCCCTCTAGTCTTAAGGTCAAAATGAAAAGCATGACCTTCAATTTAACAATGTTAAAGTGGGCATGACTTGTTTTTTCTGAAAAGTTTAAAATGCGAGCTGATCCTAGCTTTATAAAAAACGAACTAAATCAGTTCATTTTAAAATTTCCATACCAATTCTAACTATACATTTCCGGTATGTCGGCTGCTTCATCTACGATTACTGACAATCCATCCTTCTCAACCAGACTCGTTGATGTAAAACTTCTTCTCATTTTGTCTCCTACGATGTTGCAATAAAATTGTATATACGTACGTGTGATTGCTAACTCACCGTCAAAATGTATTTAATCATTTTGGATCGACTCATGGTACAAAATTAATGATAATGTGGCATTTTCCTACAATTTACTTGTGGACTGTTTATAAAGACAGAGTAGTCAGAAGGAGAAAAAGTTCTCCTGCAGACAACGTTTTAGTTGGTATGTCTCTCTCTCTCTCTGTCCCCTGCCCACCCCGACCCCCACTACCCACCATACTATTCTCATTCCTTTATTGGAAAATTTTCAAATGAAGCCAATCAACTTACAAATTTATATTATATTAGTCAGTTAACTTCAATTATTATCAATCACTGTTTGGTGTAGATTAAATTCACATGAAAATTTTAAGTCAACAAATATACATTTCATGAAATTCAAAAATTTTCAATCACACATTTCATCAATTTATATCAAAATTTACAAAAAAAAAATTAATTTAATCTACATTAAACGAGGACATAATTTATTCCAATTTAACCCTTTTGACAGTAGTTTTGACCAAAACAAATAATTAGTCCTAAATGACTAAATGAAATACATTATTTACCTCTTGTTTAAAACTAAGCCCCTATTTGGTGTATGTTAAAAGCCGATAAAAACTCAAGCCATAGTTAATAATTAATTTTAACAACACAGTTTATAGGATTTTCAACCACACGTCGAAATTTTTTATCAAGATCTATACTACAAAGTCTGATTTTAATCTTCACCAAACGTGGACTAAGCCAGTAGTTAGCATGTCAAATAAAAGGAGATCATGCAAAGTCAAATTTAGAGCTCTTGATTCAGTAATTTGAGTTTTTGTTGTTGGCAAAAATGATCGATTTTAACGTCGAAGGGGTGTTAGAATCACACATTCTATCAATAACTTAGGACAAGCTGTTAGTTTTGGTCACGATTACAGACATAATGGTCAAATTAAAATAAAATTGTATGTTACGTGGTCGTAACAAAAATAATTAAAGTCAAGTGACCAGCTAGAAATAAGCACACAAGTGACTGAGTGAGTGACCTTCAATCCATATATTTCCCCCTTTATTCACGCCGCATTCACTTCCACACTCACACATCACTCTTGATTCTAAAACAAAGAATCAATCATCATCATCATCTCCTTCTTGTTCGTCTTCTTCCCCATTTCTTCACCATCTTTCATTTTTCATTTCTTCTCTCTCTCTCTCTCTGTAGAAAAATGTCTGAGTTGTGTTTTTCAAGCACATTCAAGACCCATTTTTCTAGTCTTCTCATCTCTGACTTGATGATCTCATTTGGTTCCTTCATATTCTCTCATCCTCTCTACTTCTCATACTTCATTTTCTTCTCTCCATATCTTCTGAAACTTATTTCTTTCCTCTCCCCTCTCTTCATGACAACTTTTCTTCTTTCTCTCTCTCTCCTCACCCTAATTCCCAGTTTTTACAAAAATTTTGCTGCTGAATCTTCTACAGATGATGATGAACATGAAGAATTTCACTGCATGGAGGATCTTGAAGTGTATAAAATCGTGTTTGGGGAGTCCGAAGTCGATGTGAAAGGAATCCCAGTTGAAGTCTTGGAGGAAAAATCGGAAGTGAGGTCTAGCCATGAAGATTCCAGCAGCATCAGTAAATCCGAGGCTTTCACAGGTAATTTGGAAGAAAATTCAGTTCTTATGGAAAAATTGGAGGAGAAAAGATTAGAGGATTTTCTAAAAGTACTAGATGAGTTTGAAACCGAGACTTGTAATGTGAAAGGCAAGAAAGTTGAGCCGACATCGAGCACGAAAGCCAACGAATTCGTCGAAAAAGAGAAGGAAAAGTCTTTGACAAGAAACGGATCCAAGACAATGGATAATGTTACTGATGACGGAAAAGAGTACAACTCGAAGATCAAGGCATGTGGCCTTGATATCGACTATACTGATAATGGTGGAGAGTACACTTCGAAAGTCAAAAGTTCCGATGGTCAAAATCTCGGGACTTATGGGTCAATGAGGAAGGAGAAAGAGTGGAAGAGGACATTGGCATGCAAGTTATTTGAAGAGAGACACAATGGAGATGGAGGCGAAGGGATGGACTCTTTGTGGGAGACCTATGAAATGGATTCAGACAAATCAAAGCCGAAAAGCGACCCGAAGAAGAAGATCAATGACAAGAACAAGAACGAGAACAAGATCAAGATCAAGAATAAGAAAAGTGAAATCCAATTGCACGAACCAGACGAGAATGATATCGATGATGGGCAATTGTGTTGCTTACAAGCCCTCAAATTCTCAGCAGGGAAGATGAATTTGGGAATAGGAAGGCCTAATGTTGTTAGGAATATATCCAAAGCCATTAAAGGAATTGGATGGTTGCACAATGTGAGTAGGCAAGGAAAGAAGGTGCATCATAATGGAGGAGATAGATACTAATTTTCTATTTAATCAAGATTGCAAATTAAAATCTGTATTTTTTGTTCTAAAATGAAGTTACTTCAACAAGAATTTCTGTATTTAATGTTTTAAAGAAGTTAATTTTAACTATAGTGTATATGTTTGTTTGATGTTTCTTGTTATGCCTTAGCCAAAACCCAAGTGCTAATGCCCTTTTTCCTATTAGCTGAGCCTCTGTAGTTTTTGCAGCTTTTGCCCCTCCAAAAATCAATTTTTTATAGATTTTGACAAAAGTTAAGGAAACGTGTGATTGAAAAATTGATGAAAGTCGTGAATCCCATAAAAAATATGTTGTTAAAATTGATTGTTGACTTCGATTTACATTTTTTTCAACTATTTTAGTTAAACCAAACATGGATTGAGTTAACCAACATCAAATGAGGTGCCGGCCGAGCTTTTCTTTGGTGAAGACTCCTCAACGTTCAAGTCAGAAAATGGTAATAGTGAAGATAAAATCGAAATATCTCCTATATAGTTCTTGCATCTTGCTGCATGTACATCGAACTTTACATAATGTGTTATATAACGTCACATATCACTTTATCATTTACCATTTTAAAACACAATCAATTTTTTCATCCCATCTTTTCCCTCCATAAGCATAATCCATAATTCTTTCCCTCCCTTTGACGTGAGTTCATCATTGATCACAGCTAATTACTACGTCTTCTCAAGATTTGTCCTTTCAATCCAGCTAATTCAATATTTGGCTACACTCTTTAGTCTAGATTTGGTATCAATTTTCTGGATCAAATTTGGTGCCAATCCTTTCTTGATATAGCGTCGATTTTTTCAGATCCATCCTTGATATGGTACCTATTTCTGGACAGCAAATTAGGGATTTTCCAGCCTCCCGCTGTTGTAAGTCTATCATTAATCTTAAATCTTGAATAATTGATTTGGACTTTATATCGAGTTTGGACCGTACATACTTTGATATGTTAAAATTACACCTCGAAACTAAGTTCTTGTTCGTTTCACATTGTTTGTCAAAAAGAATTAATTTTTGTACCCTTTTTTCAATACCTTTGAATGCATCGTGAGAGAAAAAAGTCAAATAAAACGGCTGAATTGATCTGCAACGATAGAAAAATCTCTTAAAAGGAGATAAAAATTGGAAACAAACAGACTGTAAATAAATTATATATGGGTTCTAATCTATCTGCCATAACATTACTCCATAGAAAATTTACCCTTTTTACATTTCATTTACTAGCTCGAAATTTAAGCCCATATTTGTCTCTTATTCTTTTAACACTTTTTTTTACATGCTCGTTTTTAACCACATATTCATATAATAAAATATTCTACAGGTAAACTTAAAACTTTTCTCTACTTTTTAACTACACATTCTCCAAAAATTTATTATACAAAATAATTTTTTTTCCAAAAAATGGCCAATAATATTCATATAATAAAATATTCTACAGGTAAATTTTTTATTTTTTTCAATCTACAATCTTAATGAAATTATTACTATAATTTAGTACATCGGACTAAATCGACACACGCTAAACTATCAATTGCACCAATTTTTACCGGAACCTTTTTACTTTACATGATTTTACAAATTATTATTTATTTTTACTTCAAGATTGTTGAAATCGTTCATTATAGACTATAATGAACTTTTCGCCTTTAGAAGATGTTTTAGGACAAACGTCAATATCAATACTATCATTCTATTTCTAGCAAGGATATAATTATTATAAATTTCAATTAATAAATAATGTTTTGTTTGGTGTAATGAAATATTTTGTCACACTTAATCATTACTCAAAATTATATTTGTGTCGTGTAATAAAAAATTAAACCCCATCGATAAAACATAGGCCGACAAGGAAATGTGTCATTGTCTGGTGTGACTTAAAATTTAGTTAAAGATTTAAGTTAAAGTCAGCAATTTATTTTAACAACGAGAACTGTTACATTTACAGTCATTAAGGGCTGTAAATTGTACAGACCTCTCACTTGAATGTGGGACCCACTACAATTTACAGTTCTTAATGACTGTACAAGTACATTTTCATTAACTTTAATCGAAATTTACTAAAAATTTAAGTTTTATTTGCACCAAATATGGGCATGAAATGGTCGATAAGAAATGTATGTGAGATTAGACCCCAAATGATTGATATGGTAATGAAATTATCAATTAAAGCCACCAAATCCCTCTTTTAATTCTTTATTTAAATACTACTAAGATAATTTTTACGGGAAATTTTAAATTATTTTAGGGAAGTATTTATAAATAGTTTAAATTAAAAATAAATAAAAATGAACGTTGAATAATTGAATAAAAAGTGATTTGAGTTGTAAATTGTTTATCCAAACATAGGCTTACAAATTTTTTACCTAAACACATTAATGAGTAATCACACATTAATAAAGGACTAAAAAGACTTCATTAATTATTAATCACATTGATCTCTCCTGCCCATGTTAGTGGGGTCCACTAGCAATTAAACACGTCATCAACCGCGTTTTCTTCACTCGGCAGTCGGCAGTTGCAAAATTAGACACTTGTATTGTACCTTAAAGCAATATATCGAATTCTTTTACATTAATTCCCACTATGCCTCAACGTACAACACAATTATGCAGTCAGTTGCAATAAAATCAGCATTTCCTATTGCAGTGAATCACTCTCCCTTTTCCCTTTTTCTGTTGCCCCACTCGGAGCACACACATTCAAGAGTGTGAAGAGAAATCATGGCTGTAAAATCGGGTCGGAGCCACAGTATTCCGGCGTCAGATCGGGTTACCGGGCGTTCCTTTCGGGGCTCCATATTCTTTGTTGGTTCTCTTACGATCTCCGTTTTACTTTTCCTTACTATCTCATTTCTTTTCACGTCCTCTTCCAATCCTGCCGACATCAACTCTGTAAGTATTTGTCACTATTTTTTCTTTTTTAATTGAACATTATTAGTTTTTTTTTTTTTT